TTGTATGTCCACAGAGTCCTCAAGATAGGAGTTTAGTAGAGGTTACTGAAGGTGGAAAGGAATTCTCTGACTCTCTCTGCCAATGATTTTAAATCTGTGTCCAATAGTTTCTAACCACTCTGAGGAAATTAAGTTCTTCCTATCCACTCTGTCCAGACCCCTCGTGATTTTTATATACCCTCAATCAGATCTCTCCGCCTCATCTGTTCCAAAAGAATCAACCCCAGCCCTTCCTAATGACTTCAAATTCTCTCGCCCTGGCTACCTTCTGAAATCCCCCTCTAACCTCTAGTGCATTATGTCCTTCCTGTAATATTAACTGGCCTACAATTCTGTTTTCTTTCTCCCTTCTTGCTTGAATCCAGGAAATTTTAGAAAGTCATAACCAGTGCTTCTGTACAAACAAGAAGCAAGAGTAGGCCACTCGAACCTGCTCCACTATTGATCTGATCATGGCTGATCTGATCAATCCACGTTCTTGCACACCACCAATAACCTTTCATCCCCTCACTTACCAAGAACCCATCCATTTCTGCCTTTCAAAATATTCAAAGATTACCTTCCTGTAAAGGTGGTGGAAATAGAGAGCAAAGATTTGACCTTCTGAGGAAGAAAGGATATACTTAAATGTCTTAAATGGGCAACCCCTTATTTTAACCCTATGATACCTTAGTTATAGCTTCTCCCACAAGAGGAAACATCCTCTCTGTATTCACCCTGTCAAGACTCCTGAGGAGAAGGTCCAGTATTTCTGCAGCTTCCTCCTTTTTACTGCTCAGTATCGTCCCACTTATTGTGGATTCCCTTGCCTTGTTTGCCCTCCCCAACGGCATTACCTTCGACTTCTCTGGATTGAATTCCACTTGCCTCTTTTCTACCCGCCTGATAATTCTGTTGATATCTTCCTCCAGTCTATAGCTTTCTCCCTTGCTATCAACCATGCAGTCAATTTTTGTTGCATTTGGAAACATGTCTACATATTAAAAAATGACATTTAAATGTAAGGGATGTGAACAGCAAGTGACCAATTTACTCTGGTTCCCTTCACCCATTTTTGAATCTAACTTTCACTGGGATCCCATGGGCTATTCATTTTTTGAACTGTCTGCCATGTATGTCCTTGTCAAAAACCTTGGTAAAATCCGTACAGATGACACAAAACATGCTAACCTTATCAACCACCCCTGTTTCTCCCTCTCAAAATGTCAAATCAAATTAGTCAGACACCACCTTCCCTCGATAAATCCATGTTGAGTGCCCCTTTCCAAATGATTTCTGCCACCTGTAGTTTGCCCGCTGCTGAGTTTAGGTTGACTGGCCTCTGATTCCTTCCTCCTTTATTTAAAGTTTTTGAGAAGATTTGTAGCTTGGGTTGTGGATGAGGTTGTAGACTTGCTTGCCGAGCTGGTGTGTTTGGTTCCAGATGTTTTTTTCACCCTGCAAGGTAACATCGTCCGTTTGCCTCCGGTGAAGCATCGGTGTTCTGTCCTGCTTGTTATTTATATGCCTCGGTTTGCTGGGGTGGTTGGTATTACTTCCGGTTCTGTTTTTCAGTGGTTTGTGTGTAGGGCCCAGTTCAATGTGTTTGTTGATGGAGTTCTGGTTGGAATGCCAGGCCTCCAGGAATTCCCTGCCATGTCTCTGTTTGGCTTGTGCTATTATGGATGTGTTGACACTAATTCGATGTGACATTCTTTGGTCTCCATACATACTGACAGTGAGAATTGGTCATGTCTTTTGGTGGCTAGTTGGTGTTCGTGTATCTGTATTACCAATTTTCACTTCTGATGAACATAAAGGACCCCATACCCACAGCCAGTAAAACTAACGTAATGTACAAAACACCATGCAAAGACTGTGAGAAACATTACATAGGCCAAATTGGAAGAAAACGGACTAGAAGGATAGACGAACACCAACTAGCCACCAAAAGACACGAGCAAGTCTCACTGGTCACAATACACACTGACAAAGAAGGACACGAATTTGACTGGGACAACACCGTCAACAAACATGGAACTGGACCTGATGTACAAACCACTGAAAAACAGAACCGGAAGTAATACCAACCACCCCAGCAAACTGAGGCATATAAATAGCAAGCGGGACAGAACAGCAACGCTTCACCGGAGGTGTACTGACGATGTCACTTGTTTCATCACCCTGCTATCAAACACACTGGCTTGGCGAGTAAGTCTGTGACTTCCTCCCTTGTGTCACAGTCCTCTCTGGCAAAGTGACATGTTGGAAAATGGTGGTCAGAGCCTCTGTCACTTCCTCCCCCTCGTCTATTTATTTATTTATTGTTTAGTAGTTTCAGATGTATTTAAATGTGGGACTAGAAGTTTATCCACTTTCAAAGATCCAGAACATTTTGATGCGTCCCATCTCGCTATGTTTATGCTATCCTTTATTTTGTACTTCTCGTTAACAAAGTCTGCTTTGTCCCCCTCCATTGTGAACTCTCGTGCAATTTCATGAAGAACCTTGCTCACATTATCTTCCTCCATGCAAGTGCTTTTTGGTTCCTCATGGGCCCTCCCGTTGTCTTGAGTTACCTGCTTGAACTTTTGTTACACCTCACTGGGGTAATGCACTGGAAGGTGAGCCTTGCAATTTCTGGAATTGCCGCTAAAGATTTTTAGAAAGTATACAGAATTTAAAGAAATGTGGGTATGGGCAGAGGGAAAGACTGGGAAAGCAGTTCAGTGTTCCCTGTCCACAGGATTTGCTGAGATAGTTCTTGTGCTGGTCAGAACGCTGCTTCTTGATCTTCCTTCTCCAGATACTTTTGACCTGTTTGTAGGAGGCACAGGATGACTACTTCCCACTTGTAAATATCTTTATACCAAATAAAAATCACAGCTTTACAGCAATTGGAAAAGGGAAAGAAATTGGCCATCTTCAGGCATGAAGATGTGTTTTACTGCAGAGTTTCTCTTCCAAAAAAAACTCTTCCAGAGGTCTAATGGTTTCTGCCAAAATATTAACACCTACAAGCTGTTCAGGCGATCATATTAGTTATTGGCAGACAGAAGGCCTTTGTCATCAATAACTGATCACTAGTCTATAGATGCAAGCAATTACATGTTGCAGGCTAAGGCTCCATTCGTACACATCCTTTGGCTCCAGCTTGTTTGCAAAGTAGTCTTTCTCTATTGCTGGAGCAAGCAGCTGTGTAAACAGCACTTGCACTGCATATCAAGTTACTTCTAAAATGTGCAGCAATCCTTGGTTTTTAAAAGGATTTTTCCATTTCAGTTCACAATCAAAAATACAGAAAAATAAAAAGATATGGTCTTGCACTTTATGTAATCAAACCAATTTGGGTTTTCCTTTTTTTTTTCTTTTCTATTTTGCCAATATTTATTCATGCCCTCTCTCTCCTTTCTTAGTTTCTTTCATTGATTTCATCTCTACACTTTGCAGAAAGCGTGGAGGACAATATGTTGAGCCCTCAGTGTTGGGCACAATCATTCCTTTTTTTTTTAAACCTTGTCTGAATCCACATGCTGTTTGGCATGTAGTGAATATTTAGATTTCAGAGCCCTACCCTTTTTGCATGAAAAAATAGTTATGAGCCTTTAGGCTCATCACTACCAACCTTGTATAGTAACCCCATCGTGTTATGGTACAGATCTCAGCAGATGATGTCGCAGCGTCTTCCTCTCTGTATGTTGACTTTGTTACTAAATTAATCCATAGGTGGTTACTGTCAGTCAGTCAACTGTATGGAATATAACAGTAGAATAAGGAAGACTATAATCTATATCTGTGATGTCATATTAGTGCACATTTGGTAAAAAAGTCCAAATATCTGATTCAAAAACCGAACTCTGTGGTATATGTTATGTGGCCTAATTTGTAACAAATCACATCACCACCTTCTTGAGGGAAAAGTAATGTATTACTCTGTTAATCAGTGTATATTTGATTCCAAGAAATTGGTAGCAATGAATGCATGAGTTGTTTTTTTATTTGGAATAATTCTTCTTTCTACAGGAGGCTCTATGTCCAATATGTATGCTATGAATGTGGCCCGGTACAAGCTCTTCCCTGAAATTAAAAAACGTGGCCTATGGGATATGCCGAGACTGGCTGTCTTCACCTCTGAAGAAGTGAGCTCTTTGGAAATTGTTTCGTAGCTTGGTCTGTTTCTATGGCCCTTTTTGATATAAAATGACTTTGTCATTTGATTAGCCTCAAAAAAAAAGCTTTGTTTTCTTCTTTTTAACGCTTCTTCTACTCTCAGTATAAAACCTAAACCTATCCAGGACTTTAATACTGTTCCACTGCTGAAAAGAGCTTCCCTTAGAACTCTCTCTCACTCGTGGGCAGGATAAAAAGGGAAACATTTAGTTCATTTAAGGGATGATTGAGCACTCAAGATGTAAGAACAATGTCTTTCTCTCTATCTTTTTGCTTTTGTGATAATGTGATAAATGGTCCTTTTTGAACCTTTTTTGCCTCTTTCTCCAAACTCCAATTACTTGCTTATTCTCTATACCTACATTTCAGTGTGCTTACAATCCAGACTCCTCATTGACTCCAACTCTACTTATCCTTGGCCAGGAGTTCCTTGCCTCACTTTTATCTTCCTTTTGTAATCATTAGATTATAAAACACCATCTTGGTGCCACTTCATTGCTGTTGCTTGAGCTGACCCCTATCTCTTTCATTCTTCCTCTTGTATCTTGCACTGTAAGCTCCCCCTGAGCTCTGCTATCAGTATGATCATGGCTGATCTACTACATTTAACTCCACTTTGTTGCTTTCTCTTCAAATCTTTAGATTTCATGAGTGAATATGTTGAATAATGGAGCATTTACAATCCCAGGGGATAGACAAATCCAAAGATCCTCCATCCTTTTGAGTGAAGATATTTGCTTTCATCTCAGTCCTCCAAAGAGGTCCTTTTCTTAACCTGTTCAGAGATGTTATTACATGCCTCTGGAGCAAGTGGGGCTACTTCCCCTGTCACCCCTTCAGCATGCATTTATCACGAGGACAATTGTTTTTTGGAATGAAGGGCTGTGACCAGTGGTGCTCCACAGGGATCAGTGCTGGGACCTCTGCTATTCATGATGCACATAAATGATTTGGAGGAAAACGTAGCTGGTTTAATTAGTAAGTTTACGGACTATACAAAGATTGGTGGAGTTGCAGATAGTGAGGATTATTGTGAAAGGATACAGCATGATATAGATCAGTTGGAGGCACGGGCAGAAAAATGGCAGATGGAGTTTAATCTGGACAAATGTGAGGTGATGCATTTTGGAAGGTCAAGTACAGGTGGAAACTATATGGGAGTATTAATATGCAGAGAGATCTGGGTGTGCAGGTCCACTGATTACTGAAAGTGGCAGCACAGGTAGATGAGGTAGTAAAGAAGGCCTATGGCATGCTTGCCTTTATCGGAAGGGGCATTGAGTATAAGGATAGACAAGTTATGCTGCAGCTTTATAGAACTTTAGTTAGGCCACGTTTGGAACATTGTGTACAGTTCTGGTCACCATACCACCAGAAGGATGTGGATGCTTCAGAGAGGGTACAGAAAACGTTTACCAAGTACCTGGTATGGGGGGAAATTAGCTAGGAAGAAAAGTTGAACAGGCTGGGTTTGTTTTCTGTGGAATGCTGGAGGTTGAGGGGCAACCTGATAGAAGTTTACAAGACTGTGAATGGCATGGGTAGAGTGGAAAGTATGAGGCTTTTTCACAGGATGGAGGGGTCAATTACTAGGGGACACAGGTTCAAGGTGTGAGGTGGTGGGGGGGGTGGTGCGGTGGTGTGTGGGGGGAATGCCTAAAAGAGATGTGCAAGGCATGCTTTTCACAAAAAGGGTGGTGAGTGCCTGGAGCCTGCTGCCAGAAGTGGTGGTGGAAGCAGACACAATAGTAGCTTTCAAGAAGCACCTGGGTAAATACATGAATAGGAAGGGAATAGAGGGATATGGATCCTGTAAGTGAAGATAGTTTTAGTATGGGCGGGTAAAGTGTGTCTGCGCAGGAGGGCTGAAGGGCCTGTTCCTGTGCTGTATTGTCCTTTGTTACTGGAGCTATGTATCAGAACAATCCAGTTTTACATTATACTTTAGGACTAGAGCTTCTCCAGTAAATGCCATTCCGAGAACCACCTCATGTCATCTGTTCCTACTTGGATTGTGACAGCAGGATCCACTCCCTCCTGCTCCAAGCCTGCTTGACTCCAGCAATGAAGAGAGCTCTTTTGCACTGGTAGCAGGCAAATAGCAATTTTTTTGGAGCTCCTGATTTTTGCTTCAGACAACAATACCTGTCTCCCTGATAGCATTTCTTTCCACCACTGCCACTTTCCTCATCATCCTCCTCTTCTTTGTCTCCCCTCAGCCCCTTTTTTTACAAAGAGATGTTGATTGGCCTTCTGTGGTACATGGCTCTGAAGAGTTTGCATGTCTTTGTTGCAGCTCAGTCATTCTGAGCCAAAACTCCTCAAACTGCTCACCCCTTGAGAAAAGCACCTCCTACCTGCTGGCCAAAGTTCAAGGCTCAGGCTCTTCCATCACTACGTGCTGGATAGTGCCTGACTCTGTCTCCGTGTTTATCCCTGACCACAGTCCAGCTGTAAATTTTCTACTGCACCCAAGGGATGCAACTGCCTTCTAAAACCCAACTGTCCAGGTATGTCATCCGTCAACATCTTGCCCAATGCCCCACAACGTGTCTGAAATTTGGATTCTAGCTCAGCAACTCTGAGACCAAATTCCTCCAAGCTACAGACCACCTCAATAGATGGGGGTGGGGGGAGTGGTATGCTTTCCACAAATTTCAATATGTTTCATTTAATGGCACATCACCTGACGTGTCTATGAATTAATTATTTTTTTTTTAACCAATTTTATAATTTGGTGAAATACAGCAAACTTCGTTTTTCACCTGGCACCTTATGAACTGGCTCACTTGATAAACCAGCAAAAAATTATATACCTCCAAATACCCTGAAGTATACTATATTATTTTCTGTCCAATTATGATACATTGAGGTTAGGTTTTCTTAATTTAAGCTTTCTTGTTGATCAATCGAATGGCCACACAAAATATCAACAGCTTTGTCAATCTCTCCTCAGATATTGCAATATACTGCAATATCAAAGTAGTTAGTTGAGGGTGTGAGTGAGAAGCTACTATGCCAGTAAGTTTTATTTAAGACAAGGTTGCATTATTATTTGTGATTAATGCTATAATAAACAGTGTGAATACTCTCTGCATTACACTTGTTACTTAGTGTGTATTTTTACCTTCTTTATGTGGACCTCGTGATAATCTGGAATATTTGATCAACTGGTACACTCCTGGTCCTGTAGGTACTGGATAACAAAATGTTTACTGTAATATCCAGTTCATTTCCTACACTAATGATAAGCCCTCTTGGTTGCCATGAGAGTTTTGAGAAAGAATACAAAGCAACCTGTCGTTTCTCGCTT